GCCAATGAGGTCTACATAGTGAGTTCCAGGCCAGCTAGGACTACGAAGTAATACCCTATCTCAAAAGAGAGGGAGAGGAGGAGGAAGAAGAGAGAAAACGAGCTAGTTGTTGGTTGCACAACACCGAATGTGCTCAATGCCGCTGCAGTGTCTTCTGGAGAATGACTAATATGTGACTTTCACCTAAGTAAACCATGAAATAAAAATGAAACAAGTCAGCCGGGCGATGGTGGTGCATGCAGTTAATCCCAGCATTCAGGAGGCAGAGGCAGGCGGATCTCTGTGAGTTCGAGGACAGCCTGGTCTCCAGGACAGCCAGGGCTACACAGAGAAACCCTGTCTCGAGGAAAAAAAAAAAAAAAAGAAAAGAAAAGAGAAACATGTCACTGTAGGAGGTGGGAGACCGATGAAGCCACTACTTGAGTGTGAGGTATTTCTTGGATCTATACAGCAGATTACCAAGGCACTGAAGTTTCTGCTAAACCACATTCCAAGAGTAGGAGTGTGACCAGGACTGTAAGACGTTTGCACACATTAACCATGAAGGTGTTTCCTCCCAAAGGAGCATGTTTTGTCCTAGAAGATCTGAAAACAAATATAGTTTTCAGGGCTGGGAAATGGCTCAGTGGTTAAGAGCACTGACTACTCATATATATGGGTTCAATTCCCAGTACCCACATGACAGCTAAAAATCAATCTATAGCTCTAGTTTGAAGGGATGCAACATCCTCTTCTGACCTCTCAGGTATGCCACACATGTGATACACAGATATGCAGACAAAATGCTCCCCCCCACACACACACATTAAAAAATTCTCATGGGCGGTGGTGGCACGCGCCTTTAATCCCAGCACTCAGGAGGCAGAGCCAGGCGGATCTCTGTGAGTTCGAGGCCAGCCTGGTCTACATAGTGAGTTCCAGGACAGGCACCAAAACAACACAGAGAAACCCTGTCTCGAAAAAAAAAAAAAATCTCACAAATACAGTTTGAATAGATCAGGCAACTATTTGCTCTTAGATCTTTGTCTTTGAGCCCAAACTTTACTTAAAAAAAAAAAAAAGTTAGCTAGTTGGATATGGTGGCATTTGCCTTTAAATTCTCAGCATGGAGGTGGAGGCAGAGGCAGGTGGATCTCTGAGCTCAAGGTCAGCCCAGTCTTAGTGAGTTTGAGGCCAGTCAAAACCACATAGTGAGACCCTGTCTAACTAAATGAATAAAATCTTCCATACTCTTGGTTGTTTTTGTTTGTTTCCCTGGCTGGCTTGGAATTCCCTATGTAGAAATCCACCTGCCTCTGCCTCCTGAGTGCTGAGTTTAAAGGCGTGTGCCACCATGGCTAGTAGAGTGGATTCACTTTTGTTTGCTTGTTTGGTTTGGTTTGTTTTTTTTTTTTCCGAGACAGGGTTTCTCTGTGTAGCTTTACGCCTTTCCTGGAACTCGCTTTGGAGACCAGGCTGGCCTCGAACTCACAAAGATCCACCTGCCTCTGCCTCCCGAGTGCTGGGGTTAAAGGCGTGCGCCACCACCGCCCGGCTTTGGTTTTTTTTTTTTTTTAAAAGATTTGTTTATTTATTATGTATACAGAAGAGGGTGCCAGATCTCATTACAGATGGTTGTGAGCCACCACGCGGGTGCTGGGAATTGAACCCGGGTCCTCTGGAAGAGTAGTCAGTGCTCTTAACCTCTGAGCCATCTCTCCAGCCCTCTTGGTTTGGTTTTGAGACAGGGTCTCACTGCGTAGCCCTGGCTGTCCTGAAATGCCCTATGGAAACCAGGTGGTCCTTGCTCACAGAGATTCACCTGTCTCTGCCTGTCAGCGCTAGTATTAAAGGCATATGTCATCATCATACCCTGCGTGGATTCACTCTTGTTTCCTAATAAAAGACTCATCTAAATAGTGGCTCAAACTGGAAAGTTCCTTCCTTTTTTTGTTTGTTTGTTTTTCAAGACAGAGTTTCAAGACAGTGTAACCACCCTGGCTGCCCTGGAACTCACTCTGTAGACCAGTCTGGCCTCAAACACAGAGATCCACCTGCCTCTGCCTCCGGGGTGCTGGGATTAAAGGCGTGCCCTGCCATATCTCTTGATCCACTGCAGTGATACTTCATCTCAGTCAGGGTCATCAGATCCATCTAACAAACTTTCTACAGCCTGTAAGCTAAGATTGGACTTGGGTTGTTTTTAAGGGTTATGGGAAATTTGTGGGTTTATGTTTGGTTCTTTACGGCAGGGTCTCATCTGTCACCAGGCTTGCCTTTAACTCGCTGTGTAGACACTTCACCCTGGAATGTGTGACAACCTTCCTGCATCAGCCTCCCAAGGACTAGGACTGCAAGCATGGCCCACACACCTTGCAGTTTCCTGTTGCAGTGCTTGGGACAGAGAGAGGGCCCTGTGCTTGCTAAGCAAGTGTTCTCCCATGGAACTACGACATCCCTAGTGCTTAAAGGTTGTTTTAAAAACAACGTGTACAGAGGCTGGAGAAATAGCCCAGTTGCAAGAACACCAGGGTTTGGTTTCCAGCACCCACATCAGGCAGCTCACAGATGCCTGAAACTCCAGTTCCAGGGCACCCAGTGCTCTCCTCTGGCCCCTGTGGACAGCTGCACACACGGTGTGTAAACTCAGGCACACACATGCACATGAAGTAAATAAATACACATTTTTTAAGACATCCATGACCTGCACAGACATGGCAGACACACACCTGTGATAACACTTAGGCAGCTGAAGCGGAAAGATCAGGAGTTGAAGGTTCATCTCCAATACACAGGAAGTTTGAGGCCAGCCTGGGCTACGTAAGACTCTGACTTAGAAGAAGAGCTCAGGCCAGACGTGGTGGCGCATGACTTGAATTTGGAGGTAGAGACAGGCTTATCCTGGTAGTTCAAGGGCAGCCTGGTCTACATAGCAAGTTCTAGGACAACTGAGGCTACCCAGTGAGACCCTGTCTCAAAAATAATAAGAGGAGGAGGCAGAGCTGGATAAACTGACATGTCCTTGTGATTCCAGCTTTTGAGAGATTGAGGCAGAAGAGAAGGATCACTGCCAGACCTGGCTACATAAAAAAAAAAAAAAAAAAAAACAAAAAAACAAACAGCCAAGACCGTTTATGACAGAGCTCATGAGATCATACAGCCGGGAAGTCTTGGGTGGGCACTATCTGACTGGCATGAAAAATAGTTACAGGCTGTTATTATTGTCATTGTCTCGGCCTTCTTCCTTCCCTGGCTGGTATCTTCTCACACAGCTAGAGGAGGGCAAGGGACTCCGGATGGGCAGAGGCACGGCAAACTCCAGGCTGTCCCTGAAGCCCTCACCCTTTCCTCTGTCATCACTGGGGACTCGGTAGCATGGGCACACCATGTTTCTAGACACCCGTGAAGCTGGTGCTCCTGGAACCCACGTAAAGTGTGTGCCATAGCATTCCCCGGGGCAACGGGAAGGAAAGGCAATCACTGTCATTTGTGCCAGCCCAATGGCAGTGCCGCAGGAGGGAGTCTTGACCGCAGGTGCAGGGTAGGGGTGCACTGTAGCTGAAGTGCCACCACACTGTGGCTGAGCCCCGGGTGTCGGGGAACAGCATGGCACATTGCCAGAAAATAGGCTGGTGCTCTTGAAGGCTGGGCTGAGGACAGGTAAGATCTGCAGGAGTGGCCCAGAGGATTAGACATATACAGACTAGAAACAGATCCTGGGCCGGGCAATGGTGGCGCACACCTTTAATCCCAGCACTCGGGAAGCAGAGCCAGGCAGATCTCTGTGAGTTCGAGGCCAGCCTGGTCTACATAGTGAGATCCAGGACAGGTACCAAAACTGCACAGAGAAACCCTGTCTCGAAAAAAACAAACAAACAAACAAACAAAAAAACAGATCCTGCTTGTCACAGATAGAGATATGTACTGGTGGAAGTGGCGAAGGGTAATGGAGACATTCACCACTGAATGTCTCTGAGTGGATCTCCACAGGGATCCTTCCAGACTGTCATAGGAGACAATAGGGATGGGTGAGGAAAGTCCAGAGCTATTGTGTGTGTGCAAGAGTTAGGGAACGACTCTCCAGCAAGACCAGTCGGGGAGCCATACAACTGAGAACCAGTTACTTCATTAAAATTAATGAGCATCTCCACACCTACAGCAGGGTGTCACCTCTGCATGCTGGTGAATTCTGAGACTGAGTCTAAATTCCATTAGCGACACTGACCACATAAAAGACTGCATTCTGGGGAAGAAAAAGGAGTAAGTGTGTGACAGTGTAATACAGCTGGTCAGACAAGGTGACTTAGAGGGTAAGGGCTTCTGTCACAAGCCTAATGACCTGAATCTGATCCTGGAAACCAGCAAGGTGGGAGGAGAGAACAGACCCAGTAAGGTGCCCTCTAACCGTGCATCTCATCATGTGCATCATGACATGCACACACACACGGTAAATTTTTTTAAAAATATGTGTACCTGTGGTATTTCCTTTTACATGGGGGAAAGGTGAGGAACACCTGGGTTGAGGTGCTTTTATTTTTTTATTTTATATTTATATATTTATATAAATTTATTATATATTAAATATGGATATAGTTATAATATTTGTGAGAATGTTAAATATTCATATTGATATGACACATTAACTGTTATATGCCATATATAATGTTATATATAAATACATAGTAAATAATATTAAATTTTATTTTATTTTTGGATAAAGCCAGCAATATTTGCTGGGTGTGAACAGAAGGGGGCGCTGAGGGATGCTCAGAATCTTGTCCTGAGCCAAGGGCAGACTGAAAGTGCATCCTTGGCGTGTGGAGTCCTGGAGAGGGCAGGTGGTTCTTGCTGGTGTCCAGCGCCTGTGTAGCCCTGTCACTGGGAGCTCTCCTAGTCCTTCCTCAAGGTCTGGGGGTCGCCTGTCCCATTGCTTCCTCCGGAGAAGTGAGGCCAGTAGTTCTGTAGCTCTGTTCTCCTGTTCAGTCACAGTCCCCCCTTTGACTTCATATTTATGGTTTCAGATCGCAGTACTGAGAAGTTTTATCCCGAGGAACACACTTATGACGGTTTGGAATCACAGGCAGCAAGCAATACCAGACGATTGTGCTGGCGATGTTTCTCGGTCTCCACAGTGTGGAGGGCCCTGTGATGAGATACTAGAAAGAAACTGGAATGTCTCTGAAGGTGAGAGCCTGGTACAGACCCTCTACTGAAAGGATGACGTCACACCAGTGACCATGTTCCTTAAGGGCCCCTTAGGGGAGAAGGGTCTGATTTGTAACGGCTTTGACAAAAACTTCCGTTTGAGCCCAAGGCCATTAGTGTGTCAGGGAGTCTCTACAGAAGAGAGGCCACATCCTGACTACACTCCAGAGAACTTGGAGCACAGGAGAGACCCAACTGGCCAGGAGGGGCTTCCTACACTTGAAAGCCCATTCATATGTGCTGGGTGTGGGAGAACATTCAGAGGAAGCCTTGACCTTGTTCAGCATCAGAGAGCCGACTTTGGAGGGAAGCCTCTTATGTGTTCTGAATGTGGAAAATCCATTAGCCAGAACTCAAGCCTTAAAGAACACCAAAAGTCTCACATGCTTGAGAAGCCTTATGAATGCAATGAGTGTGGAAAGGCTTTCAGGCGGAGCTCGAACCTCATCCAACATCAAAGAATCCATTCTGAAGAAAAACCATATGTCTGCAACCCGTGTGGGAAAGCCTTCAGGCGGAGCTCAAACCTCATTAAACACCACAGGATTCACACGGGTGAGAAGCCTTTTGAGTGCAATGAGTGTGGTAAAGCCTTCAGCCAGAGTGCACACCTCAGGAAGCATCAGAGGGTTCACACCGGAGAGAAACCTTACGAGTGTCATGACTGTGGCAGGCCATTCAGTCGTGTCTCAAACCTCATCAAGCACCACAGGGTGCACACTGGAGAGAAACCTTACCAGTGCAGCGACTGTGGGAAGGCGTTTAGCCAGAGTTCCAGCCTGATTCAGCACCGGAGAATTCACACTGGAGAGAAGCCTCATGTATGTAGTGTGTGTGGGAAAGCCTTCAGTTACAGTTCCGTGCTCAGGAAGCACCAAATAATTCACACAGGAGAGAAGCCGTATGGGTGCAGTATCTGTGGGAAGGCCTTCAGTCACAGCTCAGCCCTCATCCAGCATCAAGGTGTGCACACTGGAGACAAGCCCTATGAGTGCCATGAGTGTGGGAAGACCTTCAGCCGAAGTTCCAACCTCATCCTTCACCATCGAGTCCACACTGGAGAAAAACCTTATGAATGTGCTGAATGTGGAAAAACCTTCAGCCAGAGCTCAACCCTCATTCAGCACCAGAGGATCCACAATGGCTTAAAACCTCATGAATGTAACCAGTGTGGCAAAGCCTTCAACCGAAGCTCAAATCTTATCCACCACCAGAAAGTTCACACTGGGGAGAAGCCCTACACGTGTGTCGAATGTGGCAAGGGTTTCAGCCAGAGCTCGCATCTCATTCAACATCAGATAATCCACACTGGAGAGAGGCCCTATCAGTGCAGTGAGTGTGGAAAGGCCTTTAGTCAGCGTTCCGTCCTCACCCAGCACCAAAGGATTCACACTGGAGTGAAGCCCTATGGCTGCTCTACCTGTGGGAAGGCATTCAGCCAGCGGTCAAAGTGGGCTAAACACCAGTTAATCCATGCAGCGGAGTAGCCTGGAGGCTGGGAGGAGTACAGCCAGCCATGGTTCCTCTCTGATTCTTCCCTTCCTAGACCTGAAGCCAGGCTCGCTGTGTTTTATGTCCAGTTGCCACAAAACCGGGAGCCCTCCTTTGTAACGACCTACAAGGCTCTCTTCGGCTGTTGCTGCTGACTCGTGTGACCGCTCATCTGCATTGTGTCCTTTTTATGGTTTGAAAGCAGACTCATGTTGGTTAGAAGGAAAAGATGACAAGACTTTCACGTTCTCAGTTTATTAGTGTAATCAAAAGGAACAAAAATAGGTAATGTGACCGTTGGCTGGAAAGTACCTCAGTAATCCTTCGTTTAGCATTTAGTCATAGGGAGTGAGTTCTGATTTAGTGTTTATTACTGATATTTTGTTTACATAAGACCAATGTGAGGGTTTTTCACCAATTGCCATCCTCTCTGGAGGTATTTCTCCACTTCCTTTCCCCTCCCATCCTGTATCTTACTCCAGATCTTCCTGTCATCCTGTTTTTATTTATATCTTCAGTCGGTATTGAGTGTTGCCATACATACCACGTGCCCCACAAAGCTGGAGTATTCACTCTCGGACCCTTTCCAGGAAGTTTACCTGCTTTGCCATAGGACGCTGCCCTGTTATCATAGGGACTCTCAAGGTCATTGGAGAGAGGCTCAAGGCTCTTGCAGGAATTGAAGTATTTGTGACTAGAAGTCTAATCAGTGTGCGTGTGCTTGCCTGAGAACCCTGAGGCTCTGTCCTAGTTAGGGTTACTCTGGCTATGATGAAACACCATGACCAAAAGCAGGTTGGGGAGGAAAGGGTTTATTTGGCTTACACTTACACTTCCATCCTTGAAGTCCATCACTGGGGGAAGTGAGGGCAGGAACTCAAACAGGGCGGAAACCTGGAGGCAGGAGCTGATGCAGAGGCCATGGAGGAGAGCTGCTTACTGACTTGCTTCCATGGCTTGCTCAGCCTACTTTCTTATAGAACCTGGGACCACCAGCCCAGGGGTGGCCCCATCCACAATGGGCTGGGCCCTTCCACATCAATCACTAAGAAAATGCCCTATAGTCTTGCCTACAGCCTAATCTTATGGAGGCATTTTTCCAGTTGAGACTCCCTTCTTTCCTGACTCTAGCTTGTGTCAAGTTGACATGAAACTAGCCAGACTCTTGTCTCAAAAGTAAATAAAAAGATAGATAGGTGAAATTAATGTCCAAGTTTCTCACTCTGAAGTTGTTATTTTCCTTTTCAACTACTATAGACAACCTGTTTCTCATCAATATCTACCTTGTTTGTGTCTCATCATGATTCTTCTAATTACCAAAGAAAGAGTTTCACCTTCTCCATGGTCTTGCCAGTTTATTTCATATGGGTTCATCATTGGTTCCTACTCGTTTAGTGAGCTCCAGTCTGGAATTCTCATCATGTGTTGTGATACTCGGATGGTCCCCGCTTTGACCAGCAGAAACTTGTTCTTCATACTCCTTCCCGGCCCTTTGCACATCTTGTTATCTCTTAGTCTTTCCTTTGCTTTCTGGCATAAAAAGCTTTTCCAAGCTCATCCTGTATGTTCCTTTCCCCAACTGTGCAGTGAGTCCTTTTTCCCAGGAAGTCTGCATCCCTGTTGTGAACATGATATTTTAGAAAGCAAGATCTAAGTGCTGGGTGTATGCCTCGTTAGAAGGTTCCATAGCTTCTAGGATCTCCCAACAGACCACTCAGAGGAGAGCTAGGAATCAGATGAGTGTGCATAAATGCCATCTTATAGCAGCTCTCTTACCAGTTAGTATATCAAAAGACACCAATTCCAGTCCAGCACCAAAGCTCGCTCTACCCTTCCTTCTTTCTGTATTTGTAACTGCATTCCCATTTTACAGAAACACATTCTTACTATCTTCAGCACATTGACTTAAGTTTTTGCATAGGAATTTCAGAATCACCCATCTATTATCCCTGTAAATATTCAGTATTTGTCTACAGGTCTCCCAACTGGTTTGAGAATTGTGAGAATATTTTTCCCCTCGGGGAGACTTAACACCTTCCTGCTCCTCATAAAGTCCCAATGACAAACAAAAGTATGAGTCCACTAAAGTTCACGCCGGTGGTGAGTTGCTGGGCTCACTTACAGAGCACAGGTGAGGGGTTGCTGGAAGGAGCGTGGGTGACCCTAGAGCAACTGTCACACTAGAAAATCTTCACCAGCAGAGAGGATGGCTTCTCTACAGCTGCATAGATCGAGCCTAATAGGTTTTCTGTAATGATAATAGGTTTCTCCACCGATGCAGTAAGCCAGATCAAGCTGAATTGAAAAAGTAAAAGAACAGGTTTATTTGAGCAAAGTAACTCCCGGGTGAGTTCTCCAGTCCCCCAGAGATTGAGGCAGGAGAAGTCATGTGTCCGAACTAAGACAGGGAGCTTATATGCCCTGTAGGCAAGGGGGTGATGATGTATGCACCACAAGCTAGGTTTGTGCCCAAGTGTGGTCAAAAGCTGAGCACTTTAGGTGGGGACTTGGGCTGCTGGCAGCTTCAGGGGAGGAGCTGCTGCAGCCACCAAGAATGCGGAACTGGGCTTTTTGATGCCTTTTCTTTGTTGGAGATTCTCTGAGAGGATGGGGTTTGGAGAGAGATCAAGTAGGAGTGAGCTAGAGGTTCCAGCTGAACAAAGCCCCCGTTCAGTTACCCCCCCCCCCCATATATTGTAGCACTTCGGTGAAGATAGTGGCTGTTTTGCTCCAAGGAACGCATTCCACGCCTATCAATATACTGTGAAAATACTATACTCGTGTCTTTTTTTTTTTAAAGATTATTTATTATGACTATAGTGTTCTACCAACATATCAGATTTCATTATAGGTGGTTGTGAGCCACCATGTGGGTGCTGGGAATTGAACTCGGAACCTCTGGAAGAGCAGCCAGTGCTCTTAACCCCAGCCCCCTATGCTTGTGTCTTGCATGGGTCCCCCCCTCTTTCATAGTAGCTTTGTAACTCATTTGTAACAATTGTTGGGGATCTCCAGCTTGGGCCCCATTCCAAACCCTGCCCGCAGCACGCCAAGCAGCGGCTCCTCCCTGGGAGCTCCTCAAGACCGACTCCAGGGTATTTAATACCCGGCCCACAGACTTGGCCTTGCGGTTACCCGCTCGTGGTTCCTCCTCTTCCCCTGGGACCACCTGGGAATGCTTTGCTCAGATTCAACCTGAACTTATTAATTTGACCTGATCTGACTTATTGCATTGTTGGATTTTTTTTCCTGTTTTTTGTTTTTTTGTTTTTGGAGAGAGGGTTTCTCTGTGTAACAACCCTAGCTGTCCTGGAACTCACTCAGTAGACCAGGCTAGCCTCAAACTCACAGAGACCAGCCTGCCCCTGCCACCCAAGTGCTAGGATTAAAGGTATGCGCCACCACACCCGGCTTAAGGGACTTCCACTTTTAAACCATAAAATTCTTCAGATGTGAAAGGGAGACATGAATAAATAGTAACAACTCTTTTGTTTGTTTATAGACCCATTATATGGAAGCTGAAAGTTCTGATTTATCTATGGGTTCAGTTTAGTGCGCCCCCCCCCAACCCCCCCCCCCCCTGTATAAATCCAAGTGGAAAACTGGCTTGTAGTAATTCAGATCGTGCTAATGGCACAATAATACAGGACTTCCTCCCTTCCCTACCATACTTCTGAACTGCTCAGAGAGCACCTTGAGATGCTGAATCGATATCTGCACGGGGAATTCATGACCACTCACAGCTGATGGTGCTCAGCAAGAAGTAGCTGCTTTCCTCTTCTTGAGTAGGACATCCCTGGCCAGCCACACACAAAAGTCAATACATCTGGCCAAACTGGAGCATGTCATCTTAGCGCTGGGATCCTTAGCCAGCAAACATCCCTCTCTGCACAGGTCTATAAATTCTTAGGCCACTTCTGAAGACTTGCGCCTTTGTTGTAAAGAACTCTAGGAACGCCTTACTGTGCCATAGCTCAGATACAAATCAAGACCACAGATGTGTCAGACTACAAATGATGCTTCAACGTAAGAATCCTCACCACACCCTGAGCTCTAGACACCTACCGATAGTGGGCAAAGTATCTTATTCATTCCTCTCTCCCAACCCCCTTTTTAAAATTTTTATATATGGATATCTTGCCTACATGTATGTGTGTGTACCACATGCATGTCTGGTGCCCACAGAGGCCGGAAGTGGATGTCAGACCACTTGGAATTTGAGTTACGGACAGTTGTGAGCCACCATGTTGGTGCTGGGAATCAAACCCGGGTCCTCTAGAAGAGCAGCTAGTACCCTTAACCACTGAGCCATCTCCCCAGCCCCAATATTCATTTCTCAGAATATGTAATCCTGGACACTTTCACAAATTAAATTCAGTTAAGTAAAATAGAATGGGTCAGTTAAACATCAGCAGTGAATTCTAATGAACAGTATGGCTCTGTGTGTATGTGTGTGTGTGTGTGTGTGTGTGTGTGTGTGTGTGTGTGTGTGTGTAGGTAGATGTATGCAAGAGTGTAGATGCCCACAGAGACCAGAGTTGGATTCCCCTGGAGTTGAAATTACAGGCAGTTGTGAGGTACCTGACTTCTTATCATTAATATTTTATGTGTATGGGTGTTTTGCCTGCATACACACACACACACACACACACACACACACACACACACACACACACACACACCACCTGTATTCAGTACCCACAGAGGCCAGAAGAGGGTAGCAGATCCCCTGGAACTGGAGTTACAGGAGGTTGTGAGCTGACAATGTTAGTGCTGGGATCTGAACTCTGTTCCTTTGGAAGAGTGCTCTTAATCACTGAACCACCTTTCCAGCTTTCCTGATGAAGGCATTAGCCTCAGACTACCTCTTCTTTTTGCACCCACATATAGATCAGTTGATAAGGAAGCCTGGGTGCTTTTTCTTCTTCCTTAGAAGTCAAAGGAAACCATGCAAACCTCTGTGTAGTCTTAGAAACAGTCATGCTGATGGCAGATGTATTAGTTAACTGTCACTGCTTTGACAAATACCTGACAAAAGAAACTTAAAGAAGCAGTTAACTTGACTCGCAGGTCAAGGACAGTCCATCATGGTGGGAAGGCGTGTGACCTAAGTTGAGGCAGTTGGTCACATTGCATCTGTGGTCAAGGGGAAGGGAGTGTTGCCAGCTCGTACTAGGTTCACTCCTTTTCATTCAATCAAGAATAGCTCACCGGGCGGTGGTGGCGCACGCCTTTAATCCCAGCACACGGGAGGCAGAGGCAGGCGGATCTCTGTGAGTTCGAGGCCAGCCTGGTCTACAGCGCGAGATCCAGGAAAGGCGCAAAGCTTCACAGAGAAACCCTGTCTCGAAAAACCAAAAAAAAAAAAAAAAAAAAAAAAAAAAAAAAAAAAAAAAAAGAATAGCTCATGGAATGGTACTGCCCACGTTTAGGGTGGGTCTGCCCTCCTCAATTAACCTAACCTAGACAATCCCTTATAGACATGCCCATGTGTTTCCCAAGTGACTCTAAATCCTATGAAGCTGACAAGATGAACCATCACACTACCTTAGCCCAGTTCTCTTTGTGCCTTTGAGCAATTTTGGGCCTGTGTAGAGACATGCCTGACTCTTTCCAGAGAGCTCAGCTATATCTTAGTAAATGTGTTCATAGCCTCAAAAATATCTCTAGGGTCCCCACACCGTCCCTTCTGCTTCATTGTTCATGGACATCATCAGCCTCTCTATGTTGTGACTTCTCTGAATGTTCCATTCAGCTTATTGTCCTGATTTAAAACTGGTTGCCCCTGGGGCTGAAGAGAGCTCAGCCAGGCAGCGGTGGTGCATGCCTTTAATCCCAGCACTCGGGAGGCAGAGCTCAGCAATTGAGAGTATATACTGCTCTTGCAGAGGACCACTCAAGTGTGCAAACACACACACTTTAAAATAAAATAAAAATTAAAATTCAGTGGCAGTGCCATCACACAAATCCCAACCTGGTCCACAAGGTCTGGAAACAAGGAGGCTGTTCTTGTTCCTTATCTCCCTTTCCAGACATTAGTCCCACCTCCAGCCCCAAACCACCATTCTTTAAAGAACAAAAAAACCCCACATATAGCCGGGTTGTGGTGGCAGATCTCAGTGAGTTCAAGTGAGTTCCAGGACAGCCAAGGCTGTTACACGGAGAAACCCTGTCTCAAAAAACCACAAAACAAAACAATAAAAACCCACATCTAATAACCAGTTAAAAATAATAATAAACCCTTCCTTAAGTTTTTGTTAGGTATTCTGTCACAACAGAAGACAAGTAGCTAATAAAATTGGAGAAATAAAAATTAAAACCGTAATAGAGGGGTGGGA